AGGCAGTTATAATACCTTTGTCTACTGGCGAGTCGCTCAAACTATGTGATGGAAGCCCTACTACAGACCCAACTCAATACCGTCAAGTCCTTGGCTCCTTATAGTATTTATCTCTCACCCATCCGGATATCTCATTTGCGGTCAATAAATTATCTCAATTCATGCATCGACCATCTACTATGCATTGGTCTGCAGTCAAACGAATATTGTAATATCTTCACGGGACTATCAATCATGGCCTCTTTTTTTGTAAACACTCTCCCCTTTATCTCCATGCCTTTACTGATGCTGATTAGGCAGGGAATTTTGATGATAGAACATCCACATCGGGGTATATTCTCTTCCTTGGACCTAATCCAATCAGTTGAAGTTCCAAGAAGCAAAAGACAGTGCACGTTCTACAATTGAAGCTGAATATCGTGCCATTACCACCGCAGTTGCATAACTCAATTGGGTCATAAATCTTCTCAAGGAACTCAATTGGGTCATAAATCTTCTCAAGTAACTTGGCATCTAACATCAACTCTACTCCTATAATATATTGTGATAATGTCGGAGCCACTTATCTATGCCGTATGAAGCAGTCAGATGATAACAACCTCAACAATAGCCAATCTCCCATGATAACAACCTCAACAATATCCAAGATCTCCCTAACTACATGATAAGATATCATAAATCTGTTAATAAAAATCTTCTATTGAGGAAAATTCTCCGTTGTATAAATATGGAGTATTGTGTATTGTTTTGATCAATACAATCTTCTTCTTTCTATTTCATTTCTATCACGTACTAAATCTTCGACTTCAAAGATATTTCAGATAAACAATTTGGAAGAGATAATTGACGTCACTTTGGACAATCAATTTATTTGACTAGAATATGATGACATTGGCCTCATCATGCCTCAAAAATATATCCAAGTCATTAAAAGATGCTTAATGTCATCACTAAAATCTTTTCTGTTTAAATCATGGAAGCAGTCTTTGTTTTCATCTTTCTTTTTTTTTGTTTGGGTTGGTAAGTCGTTTTGAAATTCGTAGATAAAAGTAGGCTCTACGGAGAATAAGTTAATTAAAGGACAAGAAATTTAAGTTTAAAAGGACTTTGGTTAGAAGAAAAAAAAATCCTTAAAAATTAAGGATTGGTCACTCAATAAATTAAGGACATTGTCTTAGAGTTTTCTCTAGAAAATCTAGAGAGGTTGAAGAAACAATGAAAATCTTTCAAAGTTTACGCAAGTTGATCAGATGGCAATAGTTTGAGAAAACTATTTGTTGTATTTTAGACTTAGGTTTATGTGAAGAATTTAGATTTATTTTTTCTCCTTGGATGTAAACAATGGTTTGGTGCCAGAATATGTAAATCTTTGTATCACAGCCTTCTTTCCTCACTCTTGGAAAGATTCAGATGGCAAAAACTTAAAGATAGCATACGATAGATTCTTAAGCAGATTATAACATTTATATGTTGTCTTTACTCTTGTTGAACCTCATTTTGCCTGTAAGTTTCAGAACTTTTGGAAAGCCAGCAAAGGCTTTCCCAAAAGAACGTTGCAGGCACACAGCAAAGAAGAAGTGTGCTTCCTGGCTTCATAGAGAAACTCGACGTGGTCCCATGCAGAAACTGAGCCGCATTTGTGTTCATCTGCACGCCTTCCTCGTCGCGCATAATCCACTTTACAGAAGGAACAGATCGTTCTCTTTAATCCATGTCATATAAATGCTGAGAGGGACAAGTCGCAGGTTCCACCTCCATCGTGTCTCTCTCTCTCTCTCATATATGCATGCCAATTCTGGCTCGGGATATTGGAGGATTGTATGATCCTAGTGGATGTGCGTGATGGAGTAAGCAGGATGGAAGGAACGAAAGAGATATCACATGCCAAGGTAGGGGAGATCGAGAGGTCGTTCTCGATGGCTGTAGGAGGCGGAGGAGGTGGTGGTGTGATTTGCTCTGTGTGTGTGTGTGTGTGTTTGTGTTTGTGTGTGTGTGAGAGAGAGAGAGAGTGAGAGAGAGAGAGAGAGAGAGAGGAAGGATGTGTAGGCATCAGGGATTCCTCGCTAAAACATTATAAGATCGCATAGTACTCCAGTGATATTTCTTATGATGGAGGGTTGGGGCATGCATGAGATAGAAACAGATGCTGTCGAGGACGTACCCTCTCTAGGGTTTAGCATCTGGACCACCCATAGAGACGAGGAGGACAAGCTCATCATTACCCACCATTTGCCCTGTCCACATTCAACCTCAGCATCAGAGATCGAGAACACAACTTTCTCCTCGCTCCTTAATCACAATAACCACGTGATTTGGTATCAAAACGTTTACATGAATCAACAGGACGTTTAGTTTCTAGTTGGTGAGGCATTACGTTACGTTGATTTATTATTCACCATCAAGAAGCTTAAGCATTATAGCAGATCCTACGTATGTATAGCAAGCAAATTCCACGGGCACTGCTATTATGTGAACTTCATGGCTGAAGCAGAATATAGAATGTACAAAAACAGGAAATTTTGCTGCGCATTCAATGGCTTCTTTCTTCCTCTTTACAGTTTATAAATGAAAAACATGTGGTTACTTCAAGTCTTACTAGAGATTAAACAACATGAGTGTTGTAAATCCAATTACCATCAATCTCAGTTTAAAATGTACTTATGAGAAACCAACACTTACACTATGAAAGAATGAACACTTAACTAGGAAAGAATGAACTTTCTAAAGCTAATGTTGGATGCAGTTTCTCCTCTAATCAACTGAAATATTAACCCAAGGATAATGAGATCAGGGAGTGACGTCTACTTGACTGTGGGTGGGATCACAGCCTTGAATCATCCTAAAAAAAAGGGCTATAAGACACAATCCAATCAGTTTAAATCTGCATAGTCCAGGAAGGAATCATCCATCATACCAATGGAAATTACACACACAGCTTGAGGGAGAATGATGTTCTATTATTGCAGAAACCGACCAACTTCATTGTGGGGCTTTCGGTTGATGAGGTACCCAATCTCAATTTTAGGGTTGATGAATTGAAGCCTGATGGGCACAACCTAGAATGTTGGGAACACAAGATGCCCATCTCTGGATGCATCGACACGCATGAACTATATCGCTACTTGAAACACTTAGTAGCATAGCTCTCGCAAAGTGCAAATATGATTCAAGTCTGCTTCAAGTGTTTGAATGGTTTTCAGGACCTTCCATAGATAAGGTGCCAGTGATCTACAAAACCTTGACCTAATTCGGAGCAAAACCAAAGCTGTGTCAATATTGCTGTCGTATGTCATACAAAATCAAAATAATGTAACTATTCACGGTCAGTTTAGTCTGGAAACATGTACTCTCACAATGTCTACGATCATCAAAAAAAAAAAAAAAAATCTTGTTTATCCTAGAGTTAAAGAGTATCCCATGGTGTTGACACCTTGTTTACAGGAGAACATTTTACATTAGCATGCATGTAAAATGATCTTGAGCAAACGTCAAGATCAAGACTCTTCGAGAGAGACAAATCAAAGAGACCTCATTGTAGCTTCTTCGTTTTCCATTAGGTTACGAAGGTTTTGTTGATTTGAACTGGAAATTTGGACCAATATCTGTAGTGTAGAACACCTTAAATTTGTACCTATCCTCCTATAGATATATACTGTCATTATGTCATATATATCTTGCCTTTAGTGGATCTATGACAATTAGATAACCTTTTGACATGCATCGGTGTCATTCTATCTAAGAGTCTGATTATATATATATATATATATATATATATATATATATATATATATACTCATTTAAAACAACAGTGGATAATTTTAATCAATGTAACAGCAACTTGTCCTGAAAAAAAAAACAAGTGTAATATAACGGAGACTAGTTAATTCTACTCCGATTAAGTGTTGGAAGAAATTGAAGGCATGAACAGAAAGAACATCGTTCAAATATAGAAGAATATTGTTGCAGTCCCCAAGTCTTTGAACCGGTAAAAGAAGTTGAAAGTACGAGCAAACAAAGAAACCAACTTAGCTTTGCTGCCAGTGATAACATTTGTGTTGTTACAACTGGCGGAGGAATGAATGAGACGAAACAACTTGTGATCTAACTGGCGAATTAATTGAAGCACTGGCTGCTTGTACAGGTTTAAAAGAGTTATCGTTCCGCGGCAGTGCACATAAACTCCTGAAACTAGCTAGTTGTATGTTAAGACTCCATATCCACTTTACAGTAAGTAACATCAAATTGAAGTTAAAACGAAAAGGAAAAAAAGTAACTGCTTAAAAGTACAAGTTCTGTATGAGAAAGAGAGAATCCAAAGGTTTAATCTTCAAAAAATTAAATAACACATAAGATATTAAGTACTAAGAATTAGTTCCATTTTCAGAGTAGGGTTCTCGAGTGACACACACGAAGGAAGATCAAATTGATTCCCGAACACATAGTACATACGTGAGAAAGCTAATCCAACCATTAAGAGTCCATACAACTTGATATGTTGTTAGCACAGATGGTACCAGCCAACAGCCTCTTTCGAAAGCTTGCTTATATTATTACTTGTAGTTCACTAACAAGTAATAATATATAGATTTTGTTGAAGACGCATAAACAATTTGTGCTAACATGTAGATTTTGTTGAAGACGCATAAACAATTTCTGGCTTTCGTTTCCTCTTTTTTTTTCTCTCTCTCTCTCCAAATAAAAAGTGAAAAGAATTGAAAGCGATACGTATGCTCCTGGCATAAGATGTCCATAATGCATGGTTGATAGAACACAAAGACGGAATCAGAGTGAATTAGAGAAGATAAACCGATGGAGAAGGATTTAGATTAACCTTTTAAAGCTCCAATGTCTGTCCTCCATTCCAACGCAACGCATGTCGACTACTTTAGAAATAACCCGACATAAAGAATAAGAGAATTTGGAAGAACAAGAAATTGTTTGAGCAAATTTCCCATGGTTCTACATTTTGAAAAGTTTGTTTTAGATGAAGTCAATATGTCAATTAAAATACGTACACTTGGAAGCAAAGATTATATAGAAGAAGAAATACACGAAAAGGAAATATTACTGCAGATACATCCCTCCATATCCTTCCATTTCTCAGGTAGAAGTGCATATTTCAAGAAAAGAATCTTGTAAACCTTCCTCACACCAAGTTCAGCATCCATTCAGTTCCTCGGGAGGGTGATGGTGGTGTTGTCGTCTCTTGATCTCTTGTTGCTTCTCACAAGCCAAGATCCAAAGGTAAGTGTAGATCCTTGTTGGTTGATGACGAAGCTTCCGAGAACTCCATGCTCCCGTGAGGAAGCGGGTGGAAGGGGAGCGTTGAAGCTGGCTGAAGCTGTGCTGCGCTTGGAGATCGAGCACTAGGGACTAAATGCTCGTCGCCTTTGGACTCCGGGCAGTCGAGGTTCACACCGAACAGCCTAACGCGCTTGGCTTCAGCCTGGTTGCGAACGAGTGGTGGTGAACTGAGAACCATGGGCGGGCCGCTGCCGCTGTCACGTTGCGCTGCAATCTGCGGTGGCCTCGCCATCGAAGATCTAAAGAAAAGAAGCTGACCTCCACCGGTACTGCCCCAGTTCATGCCGTTGTACCCGAAACCAGGGCGGTGGTGGTCGTGTCCTGCCCTCGGAGGGATGAAGAACTGGCCGCCCCATGGTCCTAATGGACGCGCCAAGGATACTCCGGTGAGCGGATTTAACGGTAGCATGGGTATGTCACCGTTCACTGGCCGCGGCTTCCAGTCTATGTAGTGCTGATCTCTTGTAGACTCGCCGACACCGCGGCCGAAGGAGACGATATCCCCGGCGTCGAGCCTCTTCTCCTTGACAAATCGGCTCCAGCCCTTGGTCATGACGTAGCTCTGGCTACTGTTCCAGTAGGAGTAGCGGAAGCGCCATGACTTCCCCGTCCGGTCCTCGAAGCTCAACAACAGCCCTTTCTCTTGCGCTGCCGGGTCAAGCGGGAAGTACCTCTCGGCATGCTGCTTTGGGATCACCAGCCGGTTCAGCTTCCCGACATCGCTCGGCGTGACCACCTTGTCGAACATGTGCTCCTTCTCCGTGAAGAAATCGCTTTCTCTGCGGCCATCTCCGGCGGCGCCTCCATCACATGGACGAACATGCCATCTGAAGGCAGTGGATGTGGATGGCGACGAGGAGGAAGAAGATAGAGCAAAGATGGAAGGATACGTGAAGGCGTCCTTCTGCTTTTCCTCTCCTATAATGTACAATCCATCCCTTCTTCCACTTGTGAACTCCATCTGATATGTATCAGAAAACAAAACTGCGACTAGTAACTACACTAACAAGTATTTAATCGACCACGTACAATTCATCGTTTCTTTTCTGTTCCTCGACTTACATCTATCATGAAGGAGAAAGAATCAAAGGGATGGGGGTCGGTACCTTCAGCTTTGACTAAAGACAAGTGGTGCAGAGGTTGGTCAGGTTTTCATTGACCCCCATGGAAAGAGAGATTAAATATCGTCTGTGTATAGGATTGGCTTCGCAGCCTGTTTGTTTCTGCCCCTACCGACTGTCGCAGAAGGTTCCCAAAAGAAGGCTGTGATAGGGTATTTTGGCTTCCATTAAACCAAAAGGGAAGTTGGTGAGACGAGAGAGAGAGAGAGAGAGAGAGAGAGAGAGAGAGAGAGAGAGTTAAGATCGTATAGATTCTTTAAGGGAGCAATAGAAAGGGTGGGGGGAGGGGCCTATGAATTCTGTGGTCGAGGTCATGTGAGCCTGTCCTTCTCACCCAAGGGAGTTTTGAGCCGTATGGCTTTGTGATAAGCCCCAAAAACAGAGCCAGTTGCTCTGCAGATCCCAAAGCCCTTAGCCTCATTTGTCAGTATGTTCCAAAAATACTCACACATGTTCATTATTCTAATCAGTGAATCCATTTGATATATTATCTCTTCTAATATGTTATTTCAATGTTACTCAGAGGAAAAAGAAGTTTTCTTCAATATGGAAAGAGAATAAATATGACTTAGAATGGCTTGATAAGGAAGCAGGAGCCTTTTTCTGTCCCCATACCAACAATGGAGGTGAAAAGATATGAAGCATGAGATGTTGAAATATTTCTAAAATCATCTGACTCCATCCGATCCTGTCACCCAAAATCCATAGGGAAGAGGGATTCCTCAGAGAAACAGAGGAATCAGAATTTTTATAAAGCTATGATGTAATCTGAACTTGTGCTCTGTATGTAATTAAACCGAAACCATAATTTCATAGTGCAGCAGTTCGACAAAAACACAATTAAGCACATCATCACTCTTGCTGAAGGTGTGCTTCACTCTGGGATAATGCAAACCTATAATATATTTGTGGATGCCTGTAAGACTTGGACAAGGTCGGAAGGACGTCTAATAGAAACGAGGATATAAGGATCACAATGATATATCCACATAAACCATCTTTTTTCTCATAAGTTGGAGATAAAGAACTGTTCGTTTAAGGAATTATATACACACAAGAAATAAATTCCAACAGAATAATTCTAGTACCTAAGCAATAAGATTTGATTGAGTCCCAACTCAATGAAAGCATGGATGATACCATGATCACCTGTCTGTTTGATACCTTTCTTCGAAGTAAATGCTCTATGTTGATATATCAATTTATTTTGGTATGGCTATAAAAGATGTCATCTGCTGAATCTTCTTGCCGTGTTTAATGGTCAATGACTGATTCTAGTAGCTCGATTGGGTAAGAAATACTTGATATTTGTCAAACTGTTTCTAGCATGTTCATAGTTACAGGTAGATGATAATATTCTTGCGAATCAATATTTGTCTTCTTTGAAACTTAAGTATATGGATGTTGCAATTCATTTATTGTTCAGTGCACTTTGCTAATCACGAAGAACCAAGTCTTTTATCGAGTGAACTTTATATTATGATTGGCTAGTACTATGAACTAAAAATCCAAAGTAAGATCCGATGGTGGCTGTGTAAGTCTTGTCTGATGCAGAAAAGGGGCGGAAAGGACTCAGTGATCTTGTAGATACTTGATGATAACATGTTTGAGATGAGCCCAGTGAGCAATTAAATCGATCTTTCTTTGTTCTCGCCACGGGATCTTCGATGTATTTATTGTTCGGTTAAAGCTTCAGAATCAAGTAGCCTATTCATAATAACTGGAGAGATAGATAGATAGAAATAGAGAGAGAGAGAGAGAGAGTACATTAAACTAAGGCTTTATTTAACAAAATTATCTATCTATCTTTGTCTCTAATCTTTTGCACGTTATCATTTAAGAATTAGAAATTTTTAGTTCGTTTTGCTGTGAATCTGAGACTCTTAACTGAGTTTGAATGGTGTGTTGCAAACATATAGGAAGCAAATTAGGAAGAGTACATTAATTTGTCTTAAATGACGGGGTTTGACCATTATTCTATGGTTCAATTCATGCTAGTGGTTGCCAACCACTGGCGCACGGAACACTTACATTAAATCCTTCAACTTCATCCAAAGTGTAACAGCGGACTGCCCTTCCAAGCAAACCAATGTTAATTAGGGGGAGGGGGGCGGGGGGAGACACCTTTTGCCTGACAGCACAAGTGCAAGTTAAACCATTAGAAGTTGCCATTGTTGATGCGATCGAGCTACATAGAAGAATTCTCTTCTTCTCGTACCAAATCTCAGTCAACACACCAACAGCACATATAATTGCAAACCACGTTATGCCACAGAATCTTGAAGCCATGAAGTAGCCACATATGTCCAGAAACCGGCAATTGTCTTCTTGTATTATTCTAAGCAGTCTCCTTCCCTAATGGCATTAGTTGAGTCGAGATTAAGCTCGTGGAACGCATCAAAATCTTTGTCTTGTTGGACAAATCAACTTTAAACGACGAGTTCCACGTTGATTTATTGGACCAATTGATAAAATGTGCAAAACGTAGAGGAAGAATTGAATAACAAGATCAACAATGGCTTCTTAATTGACAGTAGGTTTGGTAGCTTATAATTCAAATTAGATTAGTGGTCTGAATTGGTCTCCATTAGCTTAATCTTACATTGCACAATGCAATAATAACGTTGTCATTCGTCGTACTCATATTCGCACTTTGTAGTGCCTTTTGGGTGCTCGAAACAGTGAATCGCCCGAGAATAGCTTTCAAACAAGCATTAAATATTGTGATTCATTACTTTGTGGAGGCATGCCATGATGTTCCCATTAAACAAGATGAGGTTAACCTTTAAATTGATGTAGTTATTGAATCAATCGAACATACATGGCATATGTACTGAGGTCTCATCAAGCGTTAGATGGTTTTGGTAGACGCATGGTCCTCCAATAAGGAACGTTCATACTAAATTAATTAAAATTCTGCTTTCTCTTCTATTGATTAATAACATGCTATATGCTAGGGGACCATCATCGATGTGCACCCTATCTTTCTCATCAGTATGCCAATCATATGGCTAATCTAATGGCAAGCTGGTACGGAAGAATCACATTGAGATTTTTATTCGACCTTTTGTTCCTTGGATTTTAATCAGTCACGCAAAGTAAAATATGTATTATTAATGTATTTTTATTATACAGGGCATTAATGGAGCTCAGCAAGCCAAAGCCTAATTCCAAATTTCAACTATGGATCCTTAATGTTTATAGGTCTACTATTTGATATTGAGTCTAACTCGAAATGTTAATTGTGGATCATCATTGTTAATCCATTAATTTTTCTCATGAGTCAAATATGGATCCTAATATATGTGCATATTTGAACCCAAAATCGATATGAAATGTGATTCTCACTCTAGATCAGTGGGCTTATTGGTCTTATAATTGGAATTGGTTAGGTGGATGGATCCCCTGATTAAAAGATTCACTATTATAGTGTGTCCTAATTGACACCTGTAGGACGCCATATTTTATAGGGTCAAGTGTTTATCCTGTTGACCCTTTCCCTCCAGTATGCAGCTTGAATCGAAGGGAAGATTTTTACCGTAAAATTTTGATCATTTCCAATTCATCTCAAAATTTAATCCCCTAAATATATGTGAAAATTTTTAGTAATTTTGCGTCTGGCAAAGGGGAAGAACATTTAGTTTTCTTTTTTCTGACGATATATTTGCAGGTAAAAGAAGAAGTTCCTTCTGTATCCTGTAAAAAATAAAGCCTGAGAAAAAAAAGTCAAAACACAGCAAAACTATCTACAAGTCTCTAAGATCCATAGCTCTAGAAGTCGCACACAGAAAGAATAGTCACAACTTGAATGATCTAAACATATTAAATGGAACCAGGAACCTCTCCTGTAAATGGTAGGTAGCCCCATCCCTTCGGGTTAATTTGGAGGCACATGATCTTTGAGGTGCATGCAAGGACCCTCGAGGGCAGCGGAGATATCACGTGCACCTCCTGTGAGGAAGAAATCCTGCGACTGGAAGTTGTCTGGTAGCAATAGCTCTTAAGAATCTCCGAGAAACAATAGACCAGAAATGATCAAAGAAGATTCAGTGTGAAGGACTCCATATTTACTGATTGAAAAGGTTCGTTTTCAGTGGTAAGTCAATAAATCTTGCCAGGTGGAGATTCAGTGTGTCTGGAATTGGCTCCGAAGGAAACAAAGAACTAGACATATAAAAATCTCCTAAAGCTTTTGTGCTTGGCCATGGAGATGGTTGGGTGAAAGATTCCACACTCAGTGATTGAACAAGTACAGTGTAATGTCAGGAGAACTTGATAGGTAAAAAGACTCAATATCATCTCTGGAATTGGCAGTAGAGGACAGCAATCTAGCAAAAACAAAAAACCTCTTTGAATGGGTATAAGGGAGACCATGGTAATTAGGCAAACTGCATAAAAATACAAAATACATGTGAAATATTGAGTTTTATCCTCTAACATCATTTGGGTAGTAGTTCATTCCTTATGGATGAAGACATTAATCGATTGCCTTCGAGTACCATCCAAAATTAAATTATGTTTATATATGTATGTTAGAATATGTTACGACAACTGTGGCTTCTATACCTACGAGAACACTTTACAACTGTGCAGGTATCTAAAAGTACAACCCTTTTATATTTATATACTCAGATCACATAGTACTTGTAGAGTAGTTATATTTGAGTCTCTACGATGGACAAGGAAAAAATTTTACAATATAATATAATGTAAATTTTGGATAAAAAAATAATGCTTATAGTATATATGTTGTATTGATTTATCTTTAAATAATTTATGTTAAAATATAAGTTTATGCATTATCACATGGATTTTATAGTCATTATAATTTGAAAATCATGTGAAAAACCAATTTGGATGAATTCCTGAAAATGTCTCCCATTTTATTTTTATTATTATTATTATTATTATTATTTTGTTCGTAAGAGATGCCTTTTTTTGTTTTTCTCCATTGGTACCTTTTTTATATATTCTAAAAATATCTTAGATAGGACAAGTCAAAAAGACTCTCTTTCTTTACATTGGATCCGTTT